TGTAAATGTGAACCAGAGAGAGTATAAAAATGTATTTAATTTTTGTAATTAAATTTATAAGATTAAGTTGCAGCAAAAAAGATCAGAATCAGAAATACTTTAATAATCCCAGTGGGATGAAGACAAATGAAGACATTCCAAGTTTTTCTCCCAGAAACTGGACATTCAGACTCTGAGCATGTTTACAAAGCTGGTTCTGGTTAATCTAAATCTGAAGATTTTGATGAGTGATGAGTCCTGTTCCTCTCCCCCGGCAGCCCTTCTGTGACGGGGCCCACCGGACTAAGGCCCCCGACATGGCCCCGCTGCGTTTTTCCCCCGAAAAGGACGGGGGGGCGCTGCTCTGCGCCTGCAAAGAGACGCGCACCCCCCCCTACTGCGACGGGTCCCACCTCAGGGTGCTGCTGCGGGACCTGCTGGGGGCCGCCAGGCGCCTCTTTAAATGAAAATAATAATAAATAATTCAATTAAATCATTTCCCTCTGGGATTATTAAAGTATTTCTGATTCTGATTCTGATTCTGATGCTGAAACCCTCCAGGACAAGGAAGCCAAGGATGGATATATCCAACTCCACCCACATACAAGTCGGCCATTTTGATTGGGTCACCAATAGGAAAATCCCAGGTAATTGCTTCATGGCAATATAGACATTCATTTAAATCAGAATCAGAATCAGAATCAGAATCAGAATAAGGTTTATTGCCAAGTAGGTTTTTAGACTTGCAAGGAATTTGCCTTTTTGGTGTTTGGTGCACAACACAACACTTCTATGAGAAGCAAGAAATAAAATGTAGAAATAAAAATATAGGACAGAAATGATAAAACTGAAAAATACAATCTTTCAAAAATTTAGATCCAAAAATGGTGAAATGAATCTTGCAAACACTGAATTAAACTCCATCCATAATATTATGTTAAAATAGTGGATGTTAAAGGGGACATATCATGCAAAACCAGGTTTTTAATCATGTGATTGTGTACATTTGGGACTGTGGAGGGCCTATCAGCAGGCAAAGTGTGAAAACAAAATGACTGGGTCATGTTTTTGTGGGCCGCCTCAGTCTGAATCCAGGAGATAAATCAGGAGGTCACAGACATTACATTCGGACACCAGGGAACTAGCTTAACTTGTTGAAATAGTATAATATGTCTCCTTTAAATAGGTTTGTACAATAAGTCCAAACAAATTTAACCAAAAAAAATGTATTTCTCACAATTATGAAGGCTGGAGGGTCATCAGCCGTTAGTTCACATGCTGGATATACAAAAGAAGATGTACTGTAACTCCAAATGATGGAGAAATACCTCAATACCTCATTTTTTAAATCCAATTTAAAATAACTGCAATGCCAGAACAGCTGCTCCTCAGTCCGTCCACAGGGGAATATTCATTTACTTTATTATTTTAATGTTCAATGATGATCTGATAAGAAAATGTTGGATTAAATCCCTCTTTTTTCACACTGATTTATATTAGTCATCTATCGATACAATATTTTTAATTCTGACTTTTTAAAAATGATATGATTAAACTGACTGTTTGACAACTACTGCCTTGGTCTGTTAGTATTTCTTTTTTACCCATTATTTCAACAACATCCTCTAAATGTGAGGAGACAAAAAGAGAAGCGCTTCCATTTTTCAGTACATTTTATTTATTTACCTTTTGAAGTCTCACCAGTTCAAACAAATAAGGTTTCATTAAGTTTTATGACAGATTTAATTGTTTATGCGTTAACTTATCAAAAATAAAACTTAATATCTTTAACTTCCTTCCTAATATTAGAAAAGACAAGTTTCAGCTGTGATGTTACAGCACGATTCCGTTCATTTAACCTCCCGTCATCCACTTCCGCCCCCTGATTGGTTCAACTGCTAGCACGTGACTATCCCGGAAGTGATTCGTCCAATCCCGTTCGTCAGCTTCCAGCTGGTAAATCCCTGACCTTTCTCGTGGTGTTTTCCTAAGATTTTCTCACTTCTCCCGGTTGACTTTTCACTTTTGAGCCTCTCACGTGACTTTTCCCACTTTTGCCAAGTCTCGTGACGTCTCTGTCGTGGGACACGCGCGTGGGGCTGAGCCGCGGTCACGGAGCCTGCGCACGCGCACCATGAGCACGCTGGTGACCAAAATAGAGCCTAAATGGATGAGATTAACCTTCAGACAGCCGTGGGCGTCCGTTATGGCCTCCTCCCAGGTAAACTCACACCCTCCATCTTTACGTAAAGCGCACTTCCGGGACCTTAAACGCCTCATTTACGAACTCTGAGAAGGTTAAGACGGTCATTTAAGGTCTAATTGGTGGTTTTACTTGAATAGAAATGACTAATAAAGGAACTCCTGATTTATCAGGGTTTAGAGGGCAGCTGCTTATAGCATAAAGATGTCATAACCAATTAAAAAGAACATTAATCTCCCATAAAAACATGGATCTGCTCCTTTAAGACCTAACTGGGGAAACCTGTAGTGATTGGCTCCAGAACAGGAGTTTTATTAAAGTCTGTTTAGAGGCAAATCGAGCCACAGGAGCTCATTTTTTAGTTTATTTCTGTTTTGAGCCCAGCTTAACTGGGCTGGGCCTTAATTGGTGAGTAGAGAGAGGCCTCATTATTCACTAATTGGCTTTTTATTGTTAATTATAAGGAGTTATCAACTGCTGCCATCAGGGGGGTTCAGGGGCTTGTTTCTGATTTAGAAATCTCCATTTGTCCATGTTTTAATTATGGCTAATTGTGGGGAGGCCTCCCTAAAATAGTCCTTTGGTCAGGGCTGTTGGAAGTAATTTTGTTTTATTTTTTGGGACAAAAGACCTATGAGCCTATAGGCCTATTTAAAACACAATACAGACAAATAAATAAATAAAGATTCACTACTCTATTGTCATATACACTTCAGTGCTCACAACCCAGGTCTGTAACACACTTCTCTATTACTAAAACTTCACAATAACACTGGAACAACGTAGATTTAGTCATGAACTTTTGTTGATTAGGCCTCAAAACAATTAAATTAAAATCCAAATACATGTAATAGTACAAATAAAAAAAGTCAAAATCATTTCCCAAAAACATTCATGAGAAATTTATAAATTGTGCAAAGTATTTTTAAAAATGTTTTTTAAAAAATCTCCATCTCGCCACTAGGGGGTGCTGCAGCCTCTATTAACGGTTTGTTTTCTAGACCCTTTCAGGAGTTGTGTGAAAAATGTGTGAAATAAAAATAAAAAGATGGAGACAGAGTGGCCTTTACATCTTCTGGGGCTCTTTTATCATTCAAAAAGCTTCATTATTATTATTATTATTAACTCATTGACTGCCAGCCATTTTCAGAACAGAGTCCCATACTGCCAGAGTTTTTGGGAGCATTTTGACAGATTTTTCAAGAGCCACAGAATAGTTTGTGCTAGGACTATGTAAACACCGAACACA